ACTTGTACACCAAAGCAACATATTTATGGATTATTTTTCCCATATTTATAAAGCCAATTTTTGGCTGAGATATGAATGTTTTCATTCATTCTGACTAAAAATATTGAACACTACCATTTTCAGCCGCAAGATGGCACTCAAGTGGTATGGCATGCAATTGTGTCATGTAATAGATAAAGCGGCTATTAATGACAAAATCGGCTTGCCATAGCCTGCCACCTTCTTCCAGCTTGCTTGGAGCAACCGTCAAATCAGCTTCATTTCACTGCACTGCCCCGTGACCATTGAAGTGCATTTATTAAGTAAAAGTTAAACCGAGACACACCTTTGCTATAGAGTCGAGCAAACAAATAATTGTTTTATGTGGTTATCTTGTTAAATTTCGAAGAAATGCGCAGTCTTCCTCCTTCCTGATTTCCTCCCGGTCTGCGTGTTCCCGGAGCACCGAGCCAGCGAATATTTTTGAAATGCAGCTGATTTGACCGTTAAAGTCCTTTTGTTAAGGAAAATTTAGACTGACACACCTTTACTATAATTTCGAGCAAACAAATAATTGTTTTTAAGTGTTAATCTTGATCAATTCTTGTTAAAGTTCTCCTGTGCAAGTTCCCGTGGCCACCATTTGGCAGCCAATCGATTTTTGGCACATAGGCCCACATTTCCAGGTTTGGCCCAGGTTGTCAGCAGTGACACGTAACAAACGCGATGCGTCAGCGGTGACGCATAATAGATGCGACGCATACGGCAAAGCGATGTATTTATGGAATTTTCCACTTTATTAGACATATTTGGACAGATGCGACTTACAGGCCGGTGTGACGTGTACTGTGGAAAATACAGTACTTACTAGTTGATGTCCTAAATCCCAAAGTCGCATGCATTAAATAAAGACTCTGTTCGATTACTTGTTGGTGTATTACTTACAAAAGCTGATGGCACGTAGAGGACTCCCAGCTCGTACGAACGCACCATCACCTGAGTGTTATTCTTCTCCAGCGCTCCCCACGCTGCTTTCGACAGGTTGGCACTGATAGACATCACACACACAAGATTTAAATACCTCCACACACAAGGAATAAAAAAAAACCAACATACAGCGCATAAATGCAAGCATATAATTGTCTAAAATAACTGCTTTTATAGAGAAACTTAGTTCTTTAAAAGATATTTAGAAAGTATTTGCATCTTACTCAGAAGTTGACAAACTGCAGTAAAAAATACTGAACTGAATTCAGTTTTAAATAAACTGATAAATGGTCAATAAGAGGACATCAACAAAATGAGCAAGCACACACACACACACACACACCTACCTTGTGACAAGGAACCAGGCGAGCTGTGTGAAATCCGGTGAGACCCTCATGTATGTTTTGATGTGTGGCATGGCGTGACTCCTCCCTGTGCAATTTGCTTTCCAGCGACTACAAAAATGAACACGCACACATTTTGGTAAATTAAATTCAAAGAGAAATACAAACCTTTTTATCAGAAAGGTTGTCAAATTCACAACAATTTGTTCATTATTTGAATTTTTCCACAGTACAAATACCAATAAGGCAACAGCACAGATGTAAAGCACATGGACATTGGAATTTTTTTTTAAATATAAATTAATAAAGTTAGAAAACAGCTAATAAATCTCTTTATACTATTTTTTTTCTCCTTTTTACTTGTTTGTTGAAGACATTTCATTTGTCATTTTTTTTAATCAGCTTTCTCGGTTCAAATTTAAAAAGTGTGCAAGTCCAAACTTAAACTGTTGTGAGCTGCTCTCTTTATGTCAGACCAACCCATTTAAAACTCTGTGGATAAACGGAATAAAATGACAAATGGAGACATTTTACTGCAGCCAATGATCAATAATAGATATGTGTCACCCTTAATGCCTGGGTTCACCTGCACCTCACCAATATAAAGCCAACATTTTTTTCCTCCAACTTTTGCACTTGGTGTGTAATGAAGTCTTCATTACTTTTTCTGGTACACTTAAAATGCTGATGTTTGAATAGTTTAACTGAAAGAATGACAAGGAGTGCTGCTGCTTGCAGTGAAAGTAAGGGAAACAAAATCACTGTAATGCTACTTTAATTTGGTGATATGTGACTTATCTGTTATGCTGATTATCCATGCTACTGATCTCTTGCCTTTATGCTGCTGTATTCATACCCATATGCTCACTACAGACTCATGTTCGGGCTGCCATTTAAGAGACTGTATTTTTTTACACTATTAGTGTTTAGCGTATATCTTAGATCTTTAAGCATATTG